CGTAAAATCAATATCCATGTAGAATAGCTGGTTGGATTTGAAGTTGAACGCATCGAATTATCGTAACAGACGAAATGGAAACATAATTGCCTATATTTATTTAATTCGTACATTAAATATAGGCACAATTACGTTACCACCCCGCCCTCTACGTTTATAACCTTCAAACTCGTATGTCTCGTTTAAGGTGTAAATGCATACGAGAACATCGTATATTTGACCTAAAACGCAATTTAAAAATAATGGTACCTTTTACACCCGAAATTCTCTCATATTTCCTACAAGATGAGTTTTTTTCGGAATTTTAGTTACGCTGGTACAATTAAAATAAAGTCTAATTAATAATGACGGTCGGACAAAATAAAGTCACCGGAAGCAATTTCTAATTGTAAACTGAATTAAACAATTGAATAATCTAATTAATGTCTGGTTTCCGTTGTAATTATCGTAACGGACGAGCGAGTTAACACAGAGAATTATATTATTCATTTTATATACTATATAATTATCAATGTATAACTAACCCGTCCGTCCTTATACCGCCATCGATTTCGAATGTCTCCAGAAAATTGTATATGCAATGGAGACCGTCTTTGTTCTTTTATTAATCTTATCAAACAATTTTAAATACACGATCAAGATCAAAATCTACGAGAAACAATCATTACCGATAGACCTAACGTTTACTAGGGTCCGCAGGTTCGTAAAGCCCGTTACTCTATTCAGAATACCCCTGCGGTACGGTTTCACATATTCAATTTCAATAATGATTAGCAAAGTTAACATAAATAAAATTTAGTATATAAAAAATATATAAAACGTTGTACAAATTAAGAAAAAAATGCAGTCTGACCTCTAGAAATACACTATTAGGCGGGACTTGCAAATCATCGTGTCGTTTCGTATCATTTAAAATGTAGACTTTGGTCAACTACGTTTTTCGTGAAGTGATATATTTTCGAGATAATACTAACTATAATTAGGTGATAAATAATCAATTATACAATATTTGTGATATAAATTTTATAGCGATCACTTGAACCACCATAAAACCAACAGTCATAAGTACAGCGATCAGTTCAAAATGTTTTACCCTTTGGTTACGTCCTAGTAGGCAAGGTTAAAAAAAAAAGTAAATCTACCCAGATTTGCATTCGATCAAAAACGTGTAATTAACACGATACGAAACGACACGCTGAATATAGAAATCCATTTTACAGTCTTAGAATCCATTAATAACAAAATTCATACGTAATCATCTAACATTTTAAATTTAGACAAGGTTAGGCCGGTTACATTACAATATGATAATGAATCATAAATATCTGTTATATGGTAACCTTAAAAAATTATCTAATACGAAAATGTTTAAGAGAAGTTTTTGACCAATGTTCACACATCGTACGACTTTAATCAAAAGGAATATTAATTTCTTAAATAAACTTAAATATAATGTAAACAGAGTTATACCAAACAGGACTGTATTTTATTTATTATAGTGTTAGAAAACCTTTTATATCAAACGAATAAGTATAATTATGTAAAAATTAACTAAAATATAATAAAAAAAAGTTAAACATACGCTGTACAAAATTCATATGTACGATTCGATATAATAACATTGCTGATATAAGAACAAAAACTAACTTAAGGTTAAATAATTTCGCAATGATAAAAAAAAATTAACAAAATTACCTGCTCAACACGTAAAATCAATATCCATGTAGAATAGCTGGTTGGATTTGAAGTTGAACGCATCGAATTATCGTAACGGACGAAATGGAAACATAATTGCCTATATTTATTTAATTCGTACATTAAATATAGGCACAATTACGTTACCACCCCGCCCGTACGTTTATTACGTTTACTAGGGTCCGCAGGTTCGTAAAGCCCGTTACTCTATTCAGAGTACCCTTGCAGTACAATCTTCCATATTCAATTTCAATAATGTTAAGCAAATAAAGCACATAAATAAAATTTAATATATATAAAATATAAAACACGTAATACAAAGTAAGAAAAAAATGCATTAGACCTCTTATTACCCAATTACGCCGAACGTGAAAATCATCGAGTCGTTTCACATCATTTGAAATGTAGAATTTAGTCAGCTAAGTTTTTTGTGACGTAATATTTTTTTAAAAAAATTATGAACGGACAAAATAAAAGTACTGAGAGGGGATCCTATATGAGAAAATGATTGTTGACACGTGAACGATGATTGCGTGTTGAAGAATCTTTTTGTCTAGGGTTGTTTAATTCGACAAAATTAAATTAGACATCGAAAGACAAATGACCTCTCCAATACAAAAAGTATGTGGCCTTGTTGAACGGCTAGGTCGTTTTAGTGATTTTTATGTATCGATTTATCGTATCGGACGATGAAGTGACATTAATGACATTATATTTTTAAATTCTTATATTATAAAGCCATCAATGATCCACTACACCGTCCGTCCGTTTATCCCACTTGACGTCGAATGTCTCGAGTTCAGTGTAAGTGCTCATGGGAAAATCCTGGTTATTAATAAGATTCGTGAAAAACATAAAACACACGAAGCTGTTTAATAACCTGGATCTTCCCTGCCGGATAAACGTTAACTGGGGTCCGCGGGTTCGTAAAGCCCGTTACTCTGTTCAGAATACCCCTGCGGGACGGTTTCACATATTCAATTTCAATAATGTTTAGCAATGTTTACATAAATAAAATTTAATATATAAAATATAAAACATCTAATACGAATCGGCAAATAAATGCAGTCAGACTACTAGAAATAAACAATTACGCGAAACTTGCAAATCATTGTCTCGTTTCATATTATTTAAAATGTAGACTTTAGTCCACTACGATATTTTTGTGACGAAATATTTTTTAAAAAAAATTATGTATGGACAAAAGGAAAACACAGTGAAGAGATCCTTAAAATAATAATGATTGTTAAGTTGTGAACGGAGATTGCACGTTGGAGAAGCTTTTTGTCTTAGTTTGTCTAATTCGGCATAACTAGATTAGACACCGTAAGACAAATAACCTCTCCAATAC